TACATGCATTTCTGCAGCGTCTCCATTGACGTCTATTGAACCAAAACACAACATTTTGCGTTTAAAAAAAGTCCCTGACCCTTCCTAAAAAACGCTCCGGGTGAAAACGTGGAGATGTGAACGTGTCCCAATGGACTGTAGTGCGTCTCTGCAAAATACAAAACATTTAGGTGTGAACCTAGACTTAGGGCTGGTTCACACCATAGAAACACAGTCCAGATGCCTTTCCACATGCGCGTTCTGTTCCCCCTCTCTTTTTCTTCAGTTTAAATGGGGACATGCGTGTCCAGTGAGTTTTGGTACATTTTACCACATTCCAGTACAGTTCTGTGCAGGAAAACTGGAGTTAGACTTACCGCTAACTATTTGCAGGAGTCTTCCAGGACAGCCCACGAGATGGAAACACGTTACCCCACAGAGAATGAAAGGCAGTCCTCCAAGCCCATGCCTCAGTAAAACCAAAAGTACCAAAGGATGGGCCTGAAAAAACATAACACGAAAGAGCAGAACATAATGCATCAGGCGGGAATGCAGCTGTCCTGGAAGACTTCTGGAAATAGAGTTACCGGTAAGTCTAACTCCGGTTTTCCCAAGACGTCTTCCAGTACAGCCCATGAGACATAAGCAAGAACTTACCAGCCTAGAGTGGGACCACTGCATGAAGGATCTTACGTCCAAATGCTTGCTCTTGACTGTTCAAGAGATCCGCCCGGTAGTATCTGATAAATGTCGAGAAGCTCGACCAGGTAGCAGCCTTACACATCTGATCCGAAGCAGCACCAGCTCTTTTCCCAGGACGTAGATAAGGCCCTAGTAAAATTTGCATTGATGAAAGGCACCAACAGCCCTTTAGTCTGGTAGCATCAAGAAATGGCTCGCTTGATCCATCTGGCAATAGTTGGCTTAGAAGCCTGAAACCCTTGACGTTTGCCAGAAAAGGACAAATAGAGCATCAGACATTCTGAATTGAATTACTTCAAGTAATGCAAGAGACATTTCCTTATGTTCTGCAGATTGAAACTCTTTTCTTTCTCATTTGAGGCAGAGGTACAAAAAGAGGGTATCACAATGTCTTGTGACCTATGAAAAGCCGTGGCTACGTTTGGCAAAAAACCAGGGTCTGTTTTCAGACTTATCCTGTCATCAAAAACCGACAAGAATGGCTCTCCAATTGATAGAGCTTGCAGCTCACTAATTTTACGAGTCGTAGTGATAGCCACCAGAAATACTGTCTTCCACGTAACAAGCTTCATGGAAGCCTCCGTTAAAGGCTCAAACAGACTAGACGTCAAAACCTGTAAGATTAACGAGAGGTCCCAAGAAGGGCAAGACTTCGAAGGTATAGGTCTCATTCTAGCCACCGACTTAAGGAAGCAGTAAACTGTAGGATCTTCCCGAAGCAAAACTTTCAGAAATGTGCCCAAGGCCGCTGCCTGCACCTTTTTGGTGCTAAGGGATAATCTAAGATTGTCTGAATTGAAGTTTCCGAATGTTCCTTCTCCATTAACCCAAGAATTACATTTCTTTGTTGACCAATGTTTGCACTACCTTATCGAAAAACCTTCCTGCTTTAATAACTGCTCCTCAGTTACCACGCTGAGAGGTTTAACATGTCCAAGTCTGGACACTAAGCGATCCTCTCTTTTTGGGACAACACTGGAGGACAAACTGCCAAGGATTTCAGGAGGGCGAGCCAAGGATGTTTCGCAGTGTGAAACTATGAGAATGAGATCCAACTTCTCTTGCTGAAATTTTCGCAATACCACTGGGGCAAATTTGAAGGGGGGGGGAGCATAAGTTAGACTGTAGGGCCATGGACTCTCCAGAGCATCTATGGCTACTGCTGCATCACCTGGATTCATCTTAGAACGTTCGCTTGAGAGGCAAACAGGTCCATCTCTGGCTGGCCCAAATGTGAGACAAGAGAAAATCTCTTCGACAAGGTCCATTCTTCCTGGCACACCGCTTGATGGCTGAGAAAATCTACTAACACATTCTGAGAGCCCTTCAGGTGTAAGGCAGAGATTGATGCTAGATTGACTTCCGCCCAAATCAAGATCCTCTTTGCAATTGCTTGCAAGAGCAGACTTCTGGTTCCTACCTGCTTGTTGAAATAAGCCACCACACATGCTGATACAAGAGGAAGAAGCAGCATACAGAAATGACACAGTGCTCTGTATTAAGACAAGTACACACTATAAAGAGGGATATGCTTTGTTCATATTTCATGTGTGAGGTTTACAACCACTTTAAATTATGATTTATGAGAGGTGCCCTCTTACATCTATGTTCAGTGAGAGGAAGAATGCCCCTTACATTGGTGGTCAGGAAGGATGCAGCCCTTACAGACAGATAAAGATCACTGGTGTTATGCCTTCAGCCCTGCTATATAATGCTGGCTCTGGAACTCTGCAGGTGCTATCAGATGGATAGACAATCCCCCACTGGTCAGGGATCCCCTAGCAACCTCTGGAGGAACCGTGGTTGAGAATAGTTGGTTTACATACTTGTTATAAGCTACTCAGAAAGCTCTAAAACCAGCCAGACATCTAGTATTCGCTTATGCAGGCCATAGACGGGGAGAAAAACAGCCAATTATTCTTTTAAAAAACGAAAAGTCGGTCGTTCAAGCAGCCGACGTTACCACCAATGGTAAAAAAAAAACGGCCGATTTTCATCCCATCTACAGCCGGCAAAAAGTGTCCCTGCAGAGAGCTCTGCTATTTCTTTGACAGTTCCTTTGACAGTTCCTTAACATTTACAGAGGTTGCAACATTGTATCTATTTGTATCCATTTAGGATACAGATGTTTTTATTCGGAAACAAATAGATACAATGTTGCAACCTCTGTAAATGTCAAGGAACTGTCAAAGAAATAGCGGAGCTCTCTGCAGAGACACTTTTTGCCGGACTGGAATTCCTCTTATTTTTCATCCTTCTTCATCATCATCCTCTTCTTCTTCTTCTTCATCATCCTCTTCTTCATCATCATCCTCTTCTTCTTCTACTTCATCATCATCATCCTCTTCTTCTTTGTCATCCTCATCCTCTTCTACTTCATCATCATCATCCTCTTCTTCTTCATCCTCCTCTTCTTCGTCGTCGTCCTCCTCCTCCTCTTCTTCGTCGTCATCCTCCTCCTCTTCTTTGTCGTCGTCATCCTCCTCCTCCTCTTCGTCGTCGTCATCCTCCTCCTCCTCTTCGTCGTCCTCCTCCTCGTCGTCGTCGTCCTCCTCCTCGTCGTCGTCGTCCTCCTCCTCGTCGTCGTCGTCCTCCTCCTCCTCTTCTTCGTCGTCGTCCTCCTCCTCCTCTCTTCTTCGTCGTCCTCCTCCTCCTCTCTTCTTCGTCGTCGTCCTCCTCCTCCTCTTCTTCGTCGTCGTCGTCCTCCTCCTCCTCTCTCTTCGTCGTCGTCGTCCTCCTCCTCCTCTTCTTCGTCGTCGTCCTCCTCCTCCTCTCTTCTTCGTCGTCCTCCTCCTCCTCCTCCTCTTCTTCGTCGTCCTCCTCCTCCTCCTCTTCTTCGTCGTCGTCCTCCTCCTCCTCTTCTTCGTCGTCGTCATCCTCCTCCTCTTCTTCGTCGTCGTCGTCCTCCTCCTCTTCTTCGTCGTCGTCATCCTCCTCCTCTCTCTTCGTCGTCGTCATCCTCCTCCTCTTCTTCGTCGTCGTCATCCTCCTCCTCTTCTTCGTCGTCGTCATCTTCTCGTCCCTCCTCTCTCTTCGTCGTCGTCGTCATCCTCCTCCTCTTCTTCGTCGTCGTCATCCTCCTCCTCCTCTTCTTCGTCGTCGTCATCCTCCTCCTCTTCGTCGTCGTCATCCTCCTCCTCTTCTTCGTCGTCATCCTCCTCCTCTTCTTCGTCGTCATCCTCCTCCTCTTCTTCGTCGTCATCCTCCTCCTCTTCTTCGTCGTCATCCTCCTCCTCTTCTTCGTCGTCATCCTCCTCCTCCTCTTCTTCGTCATCAGCATCCTCCTCTTCTTCGTCATCAGCATCCTCTTCTTCTTCGTCATCATCATCCTCTTCTTCGTCATCATCATCCTCTTCTTCGTCATCATCATCCTCTTCTACTTCTTCGTCATCATCATCCTCTTCTACTTCTTCGTCATCATCCTCTTCTTCTTCTACTTCTTCTTTATCATCATCCTCTTCTTCATCATCATCCTCTTCTTCATCATCATCATCATCCTCTTCTTCCTCATCATCCTCTTCTTCCTCATCCATCATCATCCTCTTCTTCATCATCATCATCCTCTTCTTCATCATCATCATCCTCTTCTTCTTCCTCTTCTTTTTCTTCTTTTTGTCTTCCTCTTGCAGGTCACTGCTCATGCGCAGATTTTTTATCGGTAAAAAAAAAATCGGCCGATTTGCCCATTATTGCCGCGAAAATCGGCCGATCGGCAAAATCGGCCGATTTTTTTCCAACTTTACCGATTAAAAAAAACGGCCAAAATACCGAAAAATGGCCGAACAAATAGCCCACTAACGATCCGAAAATCGGCAGATTTTATTTTCGGCCGAAAAATCGGCCGATTTTCGACCCATCTATGGCCTGCATTAGAGTGGGTCATAGAAACTTCAATAAATGTAATCCTCCACCAGCTGGGTGCGGATGCAGGGGTAAACAATGGAGTTTTTTTTTCTCTTCAGCCAAAGTTCAACTTTAATACCCCTTTCAGATGGGGTGGATTCCGTTTGATCAGCAGGGGATCAGCTCACAGATCTGATCCAGCTAAATGGAAGAGGACATATCCTCTTTCTTTTTTTTAACGATTCCGGTAGGAGCCGGAGGTAGGCAGGTGTAAACAGAAACAAGTCTATTTACACCTGCATGTCCATAGGGATACATGGACCACCCAAACAGATCCACTTGAAAAACTGAAAGGTGAACCTGATCAGAATAGCCATCTGAAAGAGGCCTAACTATTTTATGTATGGCAAAAATAAAACAGACAACTACAACTACAGACATGGGTGGTTCAAGATATTTCAGAATTTTGGACTCACCCAAAAGGATCACCAACCACCAGGAAGGCAATGTCACTAACAGCAGCATCTCTGAGGATTTCATCCGCATCTTGTTCTACAGTTTCCCTGTCAGCAAGGATCAGCTCACGTCCATAATATTCCTCCTGAATAAGTTGAGCAGATCAACATTAATATTTTATTTTTGTATTACTTTAACGATGCAATCTCTTACAATGTACCACTATCTTCAGTGCTAAGTGTTTGCATTTACAACATCTTCAACAGATACAATGGTTTAGGAAAGGCAACTAAAAAGAATTTAAAGTGCTAACCAAGGCTGAAGCGTAACACAATAGGAGATCGGTGGAACATGCAATCAAAACCTTCCCCTTTATAAATTGTTTGAAGTGAGAGGTCACCCTAGAATTCCCCAGTGAGCATCAAACAGTCATAGAACACATGTAACTTAATAAATGCATAGCACCATCATGATGGATTTTTGTTCATGCTTTTTTTTGTCCTATGAAGTTATCAAGGTAAAAGCTTTTTACAGCTTTAACTCCACTTTTGTTGAGAAAAAAAAAACAACAACAATCCCCTCTGGATGATCTATGTACACTGCAAAGATTTTAACAAACTTTGTTGCAGATTCCTACCTTTTGTTATTCTGAAGAAATAGCTGTTTGTCTGTGTCCATATACTAAGTGAATGTAATATAATTGCACTTGCTATTGCACTTGCAAAGTTCTAATGAGTAAAGTGGCAGAGTCTGCATCCTTTTAGACATGATTTCTCTATGGCAGTATCTCAACAAAAAACTTGTATCAAATACTTACTGTAATTTCCTTTCCTTGCACCAATCCATGGCAGCATACATGTGATTGTATGCTGCAATGCTGGTGCCAGGAAATTACATTTTTGTTGCAGGGAATGCCCAAAATCTGACTTGTATCTTTCAGCAGACTTCATTACAACCAGTAAGAATCAGTAGGCCAATCACACAAGCAGGAAATGACATGTCTGGGGGTGGGAGGAATAGTGTCCCATCACTGGTGTCAGTAGGAGGAATCGTGCCCCATCATTGGTGTCAGTGGGAGGAATAGCACCCCATCATTGGAATACCATACTGAAATACCATACTATATTGAAATCAAATCTGATGTTTTTTGTTATTTGGTGTGCGTTGGAAGAGGGGTAGTCATACGGCGAGTATAGCCCAAACCCTATATCTTAACAGGAAAAGTAGGGGGTCGTCTTATATGCCGGAAAATACGGTAGAAAAAAAAAAAAAAAGTCAGAACCAGACTCCCCGCCCCAGTTTTACACCGCAGCAGCCTGGCAGGTCTAGCAGTTCCCAATATTAAACATTACTATATAGCCTTGCAAATTGCCACTCATCTCTTTCCACAACACCACTGAGGTGCTCATTTGGTAATAGCCGAATGCTCCCCCTTATTCATCCACAATCTAATATAGACCCTCCTTGTTACAGGCCTAAAGCATCTTCGATTCCCCTTTTTTTTCTCCAGCTTATAACCCTGAGACTTTCCATTGGTGGTGTGGGAGAGGGACCAAATATATCTTTGACCTCCTCACCCTTGACGGCGTCAAATCTTTTCAATAACTCCAACAATACTGTCAACTACTGGCCAATGAGACTTTTTGGTGCGCTAGAATAAACCACCATGTTTGTAGCCGTCTCGGGTGTCATGTCGGGCCACCCAAATGCTTAAAGGCCATTCCATTGCAGGAATTTCCCTGACAGCAGAGATGAGTCATGGTTGTTAGGATGCCGGCAGGTGCCATCTCCTAAAAACCAATGCAATAAATGGATGCAAAAATGGATCACTGTCCATTTACATCCATTTAGGTCCATTTCCATTTCTTAAATGGAGAAAATTGGCGTCTCAGCTGCCTGCCCTTGGTGTTTCGGGGGGATATTTTTTTCCACATCCAATTATTTTAAAAGAAAAGTTAAGGAAAAAAAAACAAAAAGAAAAAAACAAAAAAAAAAAAACATACATTCTCATCTGGGTGCATACAGAATTGGTTTGATGCTATATCTGTCCCCCATCGCCTCTAAGAGAGGGAGCTGAGCGATCACATAACCACTGATCACTCAGTTCTCAGTCTTCAGAGAGCCAGTGACTGACAATGGCTTGCTGAGAGGCTGAGCCAGCTGCCAGTCCAGGTATCTGAATTTGGGATCTTTTCAGAGCCTGGACCTGCTGAGTGTCATCAGCTGACAGAGCTGTGTAGCCCGCTGTCAGCTGAATCTGGGTCACAGGAGTGCAGAACAAAGTGCACTCCTGTGATCCATAGAAAAAGTATGGTGGGGGGGGGGGGGGACTTTGGCCCTACTTCTCCTTTACAGATAGGGTGAGATGAAAAACAAATTAATGTAGTTATAGAGTGTGAAGGTCTGGCTTCAATGAATGATTGAATTAATAGATTTTTATATAGTGAAGGATTAGAATGTCTCTTAGGCCTTTATTGCGGTCTGTGCCCCTGTTAGGGGGATTCGCCATCTCAATTTGTTCTGTTTACCATTTTCTACATTCACATTGATGATTAAAGTGGTAGTATACCCCGCACATTACGACAGACTTACCAGAACACAGAGTACTTCAGTGCAGCACTGTTACGGCTACCTGGCACTTCCATCTTCGCCTGTTGTTCCTTCTGGGCTGACAAACTCTGGTGACATGAATGGCCGGGGCCACGATGACGTCACTCCCGTGCATGTGGGATCTCCATTTTACGGTGGTCTGCATTTCGCGGCACACTGTATGCCCTGAACGCAGAGCATTGCTGTGCAAGCTCAGCCACAGCATGGTGCTCTGCATTTCATGGCACACTGTATGCCCTGAATGCAGAGTGTTGCTGCGCATGCGTGGCTGACGTCATCGGTTTTTGCCGATATAACGATATACATTTAGGAAATAATCATCGTACTTATAGGTAATCCTAATGGTAAGCTTACCTGTAGGTACAGATTAAAAAACGTTTACTGCTTGGTGAGAATTGTAGTGGCAGGAATTTTCTTTTTACAGCTGTGGATGGCCCATTCACTATTATGACAGATAGCCAGTGGCTGCAGTGATTTGTGGCTCTTGTGCAGCCAGTGATTACTTTCAGTGATCGCTGCTGGATTCACTTTGCCATTAGCGTGAATGGGGCTGGTGGCCACTCCTAGCCGCCCTAATCCGCAGTTGTAAACAGAAGATTCCTGCTGCTACAATTCGCACTGGCTGTTGTGAATGTAGCTTTATTTTATTTTTGGTAGGCAAAAATATGGCAATAAACATACAAAAAAAAACATTACCACCATGCAATACACACGGAAGAACAACCCTTGAAAAACAGCCCTGCAATTGGCAAAATAACAAATTTTGCCTGCCGGAGAAACAAGGAACGTAGCCTGCATACGATTTTCAGAATTTTGGAAATGATGTCTTAAGAAAATACCTAAGTAAGAACTAGAAAACAGAAAAAGAAGGAAAGGGGAAAGGAAAAAAAAAAGTGTGTGTGTGTGTGTGTGTGTGTGTGTGTGTGGGGGGGAGGGGGGGGGGATTGAGAAAGGGCAAGGAGAGAAACGCAGGAACGGGGTCAGGGAAAAAGGACAGCCCACTGTCTGTGAGGGCCCAAAGAGCAGAATTTTTTGTAGGCAACAGAAAATTGGATCCAATAAAACCATGTCTTACCAAAACACTCCCCTTGGTGTGCCAAGACATAGTGAGGAACTCCATGCGCATGATGTCATTTCCAGTTAGATGGGATACAAGTCTTAGTGGTATTTAAAGCTGGGTTGTAGGAAAGAAAATTGCTTGATTCCTCCATCAACACAGTCAGTGTTGATGGGGGGATGGGGGGGATACCTACCCACTGTGTTCTCCCAGGTGGGGTGGGGTTGGGGGGGAGCCGTCCCTGCTGGGAGAACACAGTGATTATTGCTAGCGGCTTTAATAGCCGCTAGCAATAATCGCATGTAAAATCTGACAGGCTGGTTGTACAAAAGCCGAGATTCGGACCTTCTATGGCCGGCTTAATTGATGGATTACCAAGAAGTGGTGGTATTTCCAATTTGATAACGCTCTGAGATGTAGAAGGCATGCAGTGGGGTTGAATTCTAGGGATAGGCCTGTAAGATCCAAGTTCAGTTACCATACCCTGGATAAACAAAGTACAAATACCTGGACATGTCCAAAATATATAGAAATTTGCACACTTAGGTTCTCCAGCAATTAGGAGTAACCTCTGGGAACATTTTACATCATCTTGTTGGACAACTAGGGTTGCCACCTCATCCCTTTAAAACCGAACATAATAATTACACAGGTTCTGAGGCTCATTTAATGCAGATAAGACTCCAAGTGAGTTTAATTACTACCGTAATCAGTCCCAGAACCTGTGGGATGAAGTGGCAACCCTAGTTGAACCCCCTACCATCTAGGTATTGATATATAGCCTGATCCCTGGAGTCTAGAGGATACAGAAGACTGTAAGCAAAACAGAGAACGTAATCCCTTTGCTCCAGTGAAAAGTATTGAAATCCTTCCCCATGCAGTCAAATAAGAGGGAACATAATTGTCAGGAGGGGAAGTTAGAGATGCATAAACCGTATCCAAGTGGAGTTGGGTCCTTGCAACTTTATTCAAAAGATCAGGAGGTTCTACCTGGTTGGGCAGATCGAAGAGTAGAACTGTTTATCAAATTTTGGGTATTCAATAGAGCAGGAGTAGAGGGGAAATCTTCCAATAGGGACAAGCAGTCATGAGCTGAGGTTTGTTTGGATTAGGATCCAAACCCATGAGTGATCTCAGCAGGGGGCTGTCACCTGTACGGAATAATTGTTGGCAGCAGGGGCATTCCCCACCCCTCACATCCACAATGGGTGCGGCAGGGAATACCCCGGTTGCAGATGATGTGGTGGGCTCAGATCTTATGCAGGCTATACATGGGTTGAATTCAAAACAAATGTTCTTTAGAAAATCAGAAATTGAGTGCGTTTTGTAACCCGATGGTGCCACCATTGATTTCGAAAATCAACCAACCTAACTTTCAATTTAACCTCATGTTGCTTCAGAAAAGAATTTTCATGGCCAAGAATTTTCTTTTCTTTCCAGCTCACGCTCATTTCTTTTTTGTTTATATTTCCCACACGATTCTCCCATCATTGATGTTCATTTTTCCAAAAATTCCCAAAATGCCCGATCACTCAAATTCAATGGTCACATGAAAACCGGCCGTTTCTGTGACCCACTAATGGTGCGTAATTCGAAAGAAAATTCTTAAGGAATTCGAGCCGTGTATGGCCAGCTTTAGAGCGAACACACCCAAGCCCATTACTAGTAACAACCAGGGATTCCCTCACTTTTAGGGACTGTCTTTCACTTCCTATTTTGTCTATAGGGCAGGAAATGAAGAGAAATCTCCCCAATGGGACACAGATGGCAAAACAAACAGACGGGGGTATAACCCTCCCTTTGGTTCCAGTTTAAGCCCACATCTACCCAGGCCAATGGTTTATCAGCTAAATCCTACAATACTATTCCAGATCCCCCATCACAGATCACTGCCCCCCACATAGAAGTGATGCTCAGAAGTCAGTCAGCCCTGTATACATCCTGCATCCTATATACAACCATCAGTAATAGAGAGAAGTCCAGAGAATGGCTCCTACCAGGTGCTCCTTGCCCACGGTGAGTATGGAGGTGTATGCCTCCAGGTAGACCCGGGCACAGCTCCTGATCACCTCCAGGCCCCTGACTGTCACATCCTTGGCATCCCCCAGACCTAACCCAATGAGGTACAGCATAGTCCTCCCGGCTGGAGAAGGATAGCAGCGATGGATGGCACACCCGGGAGATGTCTCTGTACATTGGCTGGCATAGATTCCTCCTGCCTGTCCCCACGCTGACAGTTACGGGACGACGCCACAATACGGCTGCGGTAAACAACATCCTTTGACCTGTGCGCTGTAAAGTCGTCCATATTAACTACTGGCGTAGTTCTAGACAGCTTTACGGCGCGGCCGCCATCTTTACTCCTGTTACAGCGATGCTGCCTGTACCATCGCGGGCGGCCATGTTTGTTGAGGGCAATACTTTGCATAGTTTTAGTAGTGGTCTGCCGGCGGGCTCACGCTCTAGGTAACAAATTCGTGAAACGCTATGACATCGTGCTTGGAGTTATAATTCTGATTGTTGGGTGTAAAAAAAAGTTTTCTAATTTGTTCTTGATACTTTGAGCAGGTGATGGAAGTTCCTATATACCCCACTGTGCCTCTCTCCAATGGACTGAAGATCCCAGTCCTGGGTTTGGGTAAGTCTTGTGTTAAAAACCGACCTTCAGTCAGGAGATGAACAGGGTGATATCGCACTCCTCCCTTCCCCCGCAGTGTAAAAAGTTTGTTTGTCTTTGTTTTTTCTTTTGCTACTAAACCCAGGACTCGTCATTCACTATATCTGGTTTCCCACAGTACACAGATGATGGAAATGCAATTATTTTAGTAAATATAAACTGCTAAATACCTTTTCTCTTCAGCAGTATATAGCGGTCTTGTGACTTCTACCAGTGTTCAGCAGAGCACTGGTTAAAGCTTGTAGGAGGAGTTTTCATTCTTCCCTGATTGTCCTATGAGGCTGCATAACTCCTGACCCTCTGTCTAGACCAGGGGTGGGCAAACTTTTTGACTTGAGGGCTGCAATGGGTTCATATATTGGACCCGGGGGCCGGACCAAGAGTAGATGAATGATGTGTATGTGTCATCCATAGTAAGTATAGTAATATTCCCCCATAGTAAGCATAGTAATTAATCCCCCATATAGTAATTCATCCTCCATATAGTAATTCATCCCCCCTATAGTAATTCATTCCCCATATTATTTCATCCCCCATAGTACTATTACCCCCCAAGTAGTAAGCCAAGTCCCCCCTGTGTCAATTCACTTACCTTTGCTCCGCGCGTTCCTCTCGCCGTGTTCCCGCGCCGTTCCAGTCTTCAGAGCGGACTGTGAGAGGAGCCTAGCTCCCCTCACGTTCGTCACGCTGCCCCGCCTACACACATTCTGACAGCCAATGTATCACGCTCCGCGGGCTGGATTAAAAGGTCCGCCGGGCCGTAGTTTGCCCATTGCTGGTCTAGACAGTGCTGATTACATGCACTCTCCCAAGAAAAAAAAAACTCTCTAGAAGTACGCACCAAACTGAGCTTGTGCAGCTTGCACCCAAGGCTCTGTTCTCTCAGCAGATGGATTGGGGACAGTATAAGAAGGTGAGGATCAGAGAGGACAGGATCAAATATAATTTTTACACAATGCAGAGGTTTAACCCCTTAAGTTTCACAGTGAAAAAATACAAGCATGCTTTACTGCATATACAGACTGATTATGCTGTTGTGGGTTTAGTAACACTTTAAGCCCGCTCTGCCCCCCTGGCCACTATTCACCATTCTTCCCTGTGAAGCCTTCTGGGATATGCACTTGTTACAAGAAGCTTCAGGTTCCATACATCGGCTGGAGGAGGGAGGCCACAGCAGCGCGGTGTCAAGGGGCTGGACTGCCGGAACCAGGAAGAAGGAGCCAGGTCCCAATGATGACATCAATGAAGATGATGGCACAGGACCCAGCATGTGGATCACAGCAGGGCAACGCTGGACTGACTGGCTGGGAGACTGAATTGTGCATAATACCAGTGAGAAAGATAAACATGGGAGGAGTTAAAGCACAACTACAAGCAGAACTTTTTTTTTAATTTTGGTAGAATAGATGGAGTAACGGAGGGTTATAACCAATGTCAGTTTAATTTTTGCTATCTGTACCCCATTGGGAAGATTTACCTTCACTTCCGGTCCCATAGCCTAAACAGGAAGTTAGAGAAAATCCCTGCAAATTAAGGGAATTCCTTGGAGCCCCCTAGGTCACCAAAACCAGTGTCCCCATTGGAAGATTTTTCCTCTTACTTTTCTGGAGGCAACCCAAAATGTTGGGTTTCTTTTACTTTCAATGATGATGGTAAACAGGACAAATAGAGAGGGTGAATCTGCCTAGCACTGGCACAGACTGCAATAAAAATCTAAATATATAAAAAATACCATAAACGGCGCTCACTAATGAGATTCAGTTGGGGATAGTGTTGCATCTCATTAGTGAGCGCTATTTATGGTATTTTTTATATATTTATGTTTTTTAATTTATTTAAAATAGCAGCTCCAGTCACAGTTTGAGTTCTATTTGATATAAATTATTTTACATTTTTGGGCGGTGATATAGGCTATATATTTTTAGCTTATATATAGCTTATATATATCATTTTAGTAATAAAAACTGACGGATGTTCTACTCCATCTCTATCCAAAACCAAAAAAAAAAGGTTTGCCTTTAGTTATACTTTAATTTTTAATAATTATATTTAGCAGAAATGTTTTGTTGTTGCTGGAACATGAATAGAAGGGGGATCTTGCAATGGAGATACATGTTCCACCAAGGGGCAGTAAAATCATGCAGCTGAGCCGTGGTTTTGTGGCCACCTGACAGGCCACCCAAACACAGCCTTGCAGCTGCTCAGGGCTGTACACATGCTGTGGCTGCGACATTGTGCTTCACAGCCATGGCAAATCTTAGTGTAAGTTACTCCAATGTTTCATATCCTTGATATGGATCTGCATTACCATGTACTTGTATGAAATAGTATCCTGTCCTCTTTGTATTGCTTCCTTTGTGTGAAATCCCTGGTGATCCCACCAGTCGCTCTCTGCTTTTTTATTTCAAACTGACCATGCCAAGCCATGGAAGTGCATCCATCCCAAGCCATGGAAGTGCATCCATCCCAGCATGGTCCTTGTACTTTTTTGCATTCTACTTGGGAGCACAGCCTGCCTGTCCTGCAATGATCAGATGTGCTGACATACTCTCTGCACAGCTCTTCACTGGGAAGATCAATGTACTGCTGTTCCTCAGCCTTCTGCTGATACCCCCCCCCCCGGCAGTCTACACCCCCACCTCTCTAAGCCCCTTATGTAGCGAGAACAAAGGTCATATGATCGAGAAAAAGACTTCATTTAGACCTGCGGTTGGGGGACAGCAAAAAAATTCACAGTTCAGGCTGCGTTTCTGCCCCCTTGAGCTGCAATAGCTGATGAGGTGTTTACATGCTGCGGGCGCAATGTTTTGCTTTGCGCCCACAGCAAAGTTTACCTGACACACCACCCTATTGAAATGCATTGAAAACACGGCAAAAACGCACCAAAATTGAATCCACGTTGTGTTTTTGATGCGTTTTGAGTCCTTTCCTATGAAAAACATTCCGCAGTTGCCGTAAAATCGCTGCAAAAACGCATATGCAGTTTTACTTCGTTTTTGCTATGGATCAGAGCGACAGTGCCTTTATGCTGCTTTCACACTGATTCATTTTTGTTCAGTTAAAAAAAGCTGAAGAAAAGCGAAAGAAAAATGCATCTCTTTAAATCCTATGGAGCTCTTCGCACTGGTCCGTTGTGCTTCAGTTGTGTTTTTTTTTAAAAATGCACCAAAAATGCATCCCTCCATTGAAATGAATAGAAAACCGCATCAAAAACGCAAAGCAACTGTTGGAAGTGCTTTTTCCAGTGGGGAAAAACGCAATGCAAATGCAGAAAAAATGCAACGCACTGCAGAAAAACACGTAAAAAACGCACATGCATTTTTGATGCGCTTTTCATACAGAGCACTGTGAAAGTAGCTTAACAGAACACTTAGGATTCATTCACACAGAGGGATGTAACAGCAGGTGGTTGAACTGCGATTTTAACACCATCTGACTGCACACCTAAACTAGGGCATGCAGCCACTCAGGGCTGTACACCTGCTGGAGTCACAATTCTTTTGTTTGCGGCTGCAGCAAAAGTCGCTTTTGGCAGGCGGTGCCACAACTGAATGTCACCAATTCAAGTGAATGGGGCTGCCCTGCAACCACATGCAATGTATGCGCCTGTGGTGTGGTGGGTCAGCTTTTAGAAGGTTAACCAATTGCTGTCCAGGTAAATTTTTCTAATGTAAAAGTCAGCATTTTATTGCTAGAAAATTACCTAGAATCCCAAACATTATATGTTTTCTGAAAGCAAAGGCCCTGGAGAATAAAATGGTCATTGTTGCAATTTTTTATGTCATGCGATAATTGCGCAGTAGTATATCATTTATGAATTTGTAGGAAAAAAATATACTTTGATGAATTTTGATGCACACAAACACAATTTGATAGCAAGTTAATGGGAAAATATAAAAGATGATGTTATGCCAAGTGATTGCATACCTAAAATGTCTCATTTTAAAATTGCTACAGTTCATTAAATTATCCATAGGTGACACTTTAAAAGCCTTTACAGGTTATTAGTTTAGAGTCAAATAGGAGGTCTGGTTCTAGAATTATTGCACTCATTCTGTTTTTTGTGGTGATACCTCATGTGTGCTGCAATCACCTATGTGCATGTTAACACGGGTGATGGGAGCTCTTACATTTTTGTGTGTGTGTGTGTGTGTTTCCGTGTGTGTGTGTTTCCGTGTGTGTGTGTTTCCGTGTGTGTGTTTTCCATTTAATTTGTTTTTTGTATCAACTTTAGAACTTTATTACTATCACAAGGGATGAACAACATCTCTTGTGCATGCATGGTCAGTGACAGGTACTCTTTATGGAGACTATTAGTCTCCTACAAGGTTCCTTTGATGTCCTGATTTTTCATGCTGTACATGCCTTCACAAACTTGCTTCATGTGAGTTGCCAATTGTTTTTTTTTATCATGCAATAAATGTTTTAAAGTGGTTGTATACCTCAGACATGAAATATGAACAAATCATATCCCTCTATATTGTGTATTTGTCTCAGTTAAGAGCATTACGTGGCAATTCTGTCTGCTGCCTTGTTCCTCTATCAGCATGAATCACTTTTGACAAGTTTTCCTGAC